ATGACAACCAAACATCAAATGTTGCGGATGTTCAAAGTCCTGATTGCACAAACATTTACACATATGCTTAATTATACTCATGTGTGTAGTGCCACTGACGCCCACTGCACTATCTACAGATGCTTAGAATGCCACTGCAAAGATCACTTTCCTAGCCTGTTGCTTTGACCAGGTCACCTCTCTTTGAATCCCTCCATTTTATCCCCTTTCTTTCTCTCATCAAACATCAGCAATTTGTCTTCACTCTCAAGGCCTTCACAGCTCATCTCTCACTCGCTATTGAAGTGAGAGCTTCTGCTTCCAAGTAGCCCATGATGCCAGCCTCCATCATCCACTTACCAAACAAGCACCTTCCTTCTTTCTTCCACACTGTTCCCTGTGCTTGGGGGGAGATCCCTGCACAAAGCTACCTCATTACTCTCCTTCCAAACTCTCCTTTGAGGTAAGGCCTACCAAAAAGTTTCACAGCAATTAGGTCACTGGTGACCCGATACTTCTGCCTGCCATGTTGACCAATATTGTATCATTGTTTCCTTGTACTCCTCTGTCTGCATCCATCTGTTTTATACTTAGATTATAAGCTCTTTGGGCCAGGGACTGTCTTTTTGTTCTGTGTTGTACAGCGCCTAGCACAATGGGGTCCTGGTGAATGACTAGGGCTCATAGGCACTATGGGAATACAAATAAAATAAGCACAATCATGGCTATAGAGTTCATGGTTTATTTCTTTTTGGTAATTGGACTATTACCGCAAGAGCTAAGGTTGAGGAATATATAACCCCTGTTTTAAAGTTTTCATGCTTAATCCAATCTATTGTTGTTCTTAGTTAAGATGTACAGTAACAGTTCTTAAGGCTAGGAACTGCTAGTCCACCCTTCTCTTGGGTTCAATTAATATACTTCTATGAATCCCCAGGGTTTATATGGAACAGCAAGCGAAATTAATCATTTGCCAATTCCTGAGAGTTGTGTACAGAATAGATAACTTAGTCTTGCTACATCTCTATGATCAGGTAGTATTTGCAATATGTAGTTTCTTGATTTCATTTGTATCAGGAGAAATGAAAAAACTTCACCTTTTAGCACCCAACTCCATGTATAGTAAGTCAATGTTCAGAAGCTATTTACAACATTAGATTTGACAGCAGAAAGTAACTCTGAAAGCCATTACAGCCCTTCATTTGGCTGAGGTGAAAGGAGAAGGGAAGGTAGCAAATTATGGGGACATTAAAGATCTGTGCACCTTTCCTTAGCAAAACCAAGGGTATTTCCCATACTATGGGTCTTATTGCAAAAGGAATCTGAGTTGAATTTTTCAAAGTAGTCCAGATTTTAATTTAAATTAATGGAAGATGCATCTAAGATTCCTGAAGTGTTTTGGAAAAAAGAAAAAAAAAAAAAAAAAAGAAAAAGAAATTTCACCTGACTGGTTGTTTCTGGAATTAGGCTTCCTGCATACCAACAAAGAACACTGCTGATGCAAAGCAGCCAATTTGCATCCTATTTGTTCCTTCGGGACTACCTCCCACACAGCTCCGTTATAGCCACATCCTTACAGCCAAGAGCGTCTCTCTCCAGAGCCTGTCAACACCTCTCATGAGTCATCCTAGGAAGACAGACAAAGTCCTCCCTCAGCCTACTCCTACGGAAAGGATGCAGCATTCTCCTCAGTGGAGAGGGAAGGATAAGAAAAGAAAGGACCCTGAATTTCAGAATGAACCATCACTAGTTACAGGGTTCGCACCTAAGGGCATGTCTACATTTACAGTGCAGCAGTGGCACTGTACTGGTACAGTTGCATTGCTGCAGTGCATGTGGTCAAGACGCTCTATGCAGACAGGAGAGAACTCTTCCATTGGCATTAACACCCCCCTCTCCCACCCCCCACCCACACACCCCGAGTGCCAGAAGCTAGGGTCAGTGGGAGAAGCTGCCACAAACATAGCACTGTGCACACTACCGCTTATACCAGCTTAACTTATGTCGCTCAATGGGATGGAATACTCACACCCCTGAGCGATGTAAGTCTTGCCAACATACGTGGCAGTGTAGACGTAGCCTCAGGAAGTCTCATCAAAAAATGTAACATCCATCAAAAAGAAAGGAAGATATCTGAATGAGAAAGATCTCATGAAGTTAGTACATATAGTGAGAGAGAATTAGTCTAATCATAAACACAAAGCAACATGTGACATTTCCTGAACAGGAATATAATTGGGGAGGTGGTAAAGCCAAGTGATTTTCCAGCTCTTTAAACAAAAAGCAACAGCTGCAAGCTAATTATTGCTGTTATAAACTAGCAAAGTCTGTTAAATTTGAAAAAAGAAAAAGAAAAATAAGAGGTTTAAATAAAAAACTCATTCCATTAACAGTCAGTGTGTGAATCTGTACTCTGCATTGTTCTGATTGGCTTGTAAATCTGTAAAGTATTCCATCTTGCAGTTTTATACAAGTACGTACATACAGCACCAGATCTCCAGAACAGACCAACTCTTTTTGGGTGGGGCAAACATGTAATTTTTAATTATACACAAGGATTTACTCCTTTCAATCCCACCAGTGGCACATAGAAATAGGAATATACATTTTAGATTTGAGCATTACACCAACACTCGGTGGACTGGCAGGCATGGGAAGAGAAGACATTCTGTTTGCCTGCCCCAAATTAACCAACTTTCTCTCTCAAAAATAAAAAAAGTAAAAAAAAAGTGGAGATTTTCACTTTAAACACTGGTATTCCATAATCAATAACATCTACATTATTTCACAGGTTGGCAATAACATATATTACTAGGTAAGTACATCAGCTGATCAGGTTAACATTTGCAAGGTAATTTAATTTTAATATACCCTCTGCATCATGTTCGCTGTCCTTGATAGCTGGCTTTTGCACAGGTTTTAGCTGCCAGCCAGTCAGCATTTATATTAGGGACATTTGCTTCCTGATGACTGCATCAGTAAATAGCATGAAGAGCTCAATTAATTATTTAAAGAAAAGAGAAGCATGGCCCTGGAATGGATAGCAATGGCTATTTCTTTCATTGCTCTCCTGGTAGTTACTCTCCTCCAACCTAATATAAATACTCCACGGGTCTACTATTGCTCCAATCCTACCTTAGAATCTGAAACCCTGAAACGAGTTATGGGCTTGAACCTGCAATCCCTTACTTATGAGAGTAGTCCCACTGACACTCAAGCACCCATCTTCCACTCAAGCACCTTTACACCGTCTTTCATTCTGCCTTCTACACAGGGAGGAGCTCTGTAAAAAAATTCCTCCTTCACCACTTTCAAACCCCTCCTTAAGACCTTTCTCTGTTGTGATGCCTACAGAAATCCCTTGATAATAGCTAAGTATTTTGTGTGCCGATGGGACTACTCGCATTAGTAACGGTTAATAGGTCAGGACCAAATTTGCAGGGTTACTCAAGGTATTTTTGTTTAAGAGTAGAATAGTACTAAAAAAAATTATTTTATATATATACTTTATATATATAAAACTTAAAGATATATCTTCGCCTATGTGGGTAGGAGGGAAGAAGAGTCCTCCATATATATGTGTGTGTGTATATATATATATATATATATATATATATATATATATA